CAGCACGCACTACCCCCTCTGCCCCCTGGCTGTCCGATGTTCTCTCGGTTACTGAACCTCTGAGACTGGCAAGAGCAGCTTCCAAATCCTCAGTACTCATCTTGCTGGATCTCTCTCTGCTGCTTTTGACACAGTTAACCACCAGATTCTCCTGTCCACCCTCATGAAGATGGGCATCTCAGGAACCACACTCCAGTGGATTAAGTCTTGCCTCTCAGATAGGTCCTTCAGGGTGTCTTGGAGGGGTGAGGTTTCAACTTCTTGCTACTGGGGTCCTCAAGGCTCAGTGCTTGGACCACTTCTCTTCTCCATCTACATGTCGTCATTAGGATCTGTCATTCAGAAGCATCGCTTTTCTTATCACTGCTATGCTGATGACACTCAAATCTACTTCTCATTCCAACCAGATGATCCAACGGTAGCTGTTCGCATTTCAGCCAGTCTGAGAGACATTTCTAGCTGGATGAAGGACCATCACCTTCAACTCAACCTTACTAAGACAGAACTGCTTGTGGTTCCAGCAAACCTAGGAGTTGTGATCGATGATCAGTTAAGCTTCACCTCCCTGAGTAGGGAACGAGACACTGCGTCCTCTAGGGGTCGCTATGGGGAACGCCTCGTCGTGACCCGTGTCTGAAGCATACATTGAAAAAACACCAACTCGTTGGCCGGCGACAGCCATGACGTCACTACCGGTGCGACTACAGTATAAATCGGTGCCGGGAGCTACACATCGTTCACTTCTTCGTCTGAAGCTTGCGTCCGCAGCATGGCAAGAAACCTAGAGGACGCAGTGTCTCGTTCCCTACTCAGGGAACCATGGTTACATAAGTAACCTGAGACGTTCCCTTTCATGGGAACTTCGAACTGCGTCCTCTAGGGGTCGCTATGGGGAACGGTATACCCACGCCGCCATGCTGAGGGGAGTGCAAGCCAGAACCATGGCGAGCACTAAGAACCAACTCTACCATATTGCTATGGGAGTTGCCCCTGGGACGTTTAGACGGCTGTCAGTGACGTTATTCCCTACGGCCAAAGGCCTAGGCTACATACCCCAAACTACTTACCTGTTAGGGCCAGACTCCTGGGCCCGGGGTAGAGCTCAAGGCTTGGAATCAGAAACAGATTCCTTTAAGGGAATACGACCAAGAGCCTAGAATCATACTAGTCTTGGTCTGTCACACAGGGGCTACCGCACGTTTGTCTTGTGGTGAAGGAACTGTCTCAACAGATCCTTAGTAGCAATACCCTGTTAAGTAGGTATCCAGAGGATACATAGGGGGAGTGGTGCCCAAGGCAGAACCGGGGTTTTAAACCACTCAAAAAGAGCACGAAGTCTTGCGCGTAGCTCTTACCATACAGGATTTTTAGAAAAGTGGGCAAAGCATAACGTGCACACTTACCACTTATGTGGATTTTAGAAAAGTGGGCAAAGCATAACGTGCACTACACTTGCATACCGTTCTAGGGGTTCTCGTGGCACCCTGAAAAGGCAGCCTATAGATAAAAATAGCGTATCCCCAGACGCTATATCTACGGCTATAATGCTGGAGTGGCTAGCAGTAAATCTGTAGCTGGGGGAGAACATCCAGCTCTTAATGGAGAGGGAGCTCAACCTACAGCATGTTCCCATGGTGGAACAGCTAGCAGTTATTCAGCTGAGGGAGCAACACACTCAGTTCTCAAACCGAGACGGGGCTCGACCTGCAGCATGTTCCGCACTGGAACAGCTAGCAATAGTTTACTTAGCTGTGGGGGCAACACACCTAGTTCTCAGTCGAGAAGGGG